CCAAAACAATGGTAAGAGATCAACACCTAAAGGAGGAGGAAAAGAACATCTAAGACCTTTTGAGTAGGTAGATTCGCTCCCAGTCGCTTGCTTGCTCACAACAAAAACATTTTATACACCAACACTCTCATTTTAAAACATTTTCAAAAGATAAAACTTTGTATGCATTCTTATAGAGACGAGAATCATTACAAAGACACCTTTTCAAAATCACTTTCAAAACACACATCTCACAAACACCTTTTTGAACTATCTTTGAAACAAAAACTTTATATGCGTTCTTATAGAAACGAGAATCGTTACAAAGATACATTTTCAAAATACTTTCAAAACCCACATCACAAAGCACAATTTCAAACAAAAGCAAGTGATCTAGCAAGTAACTAAGAGCCCATGGAAAACCATGGATGAAAAGAGTGATAATACCTTCCCTTTTCATAATCTACCACCCGAACTCAGAAAATATCTCTAAAGGTCTTTCTTGTGCTTTTTCACCTTTCCTTTTGGATAAAAGAAAAGTCAGTGACGACTCTTGCTAAACCGCAACATTTGCGAACACAAACGCAAAACACCCAAGTCAGTTCTCCCACCGTATCACACCAGCGGACCCTGAACTTCTAACTTTCCCCTTTCCTACTAACATTTTTTCCTTGCAGCGTATCAGAGTCAAAGTTTCTGCCCCTTACTTTTGTTCTCTCTTATTTCAGTAATGCGCTGATTCTGATTCTTTTCCCTTTTATTATTTTTAATATCACTTCTATTTTTATAATAAAAAACACCATAAAAATATCTTTATATTCATATGCTTTGTTTTCATTTTCTTTTAGAATAAAAAGACCAAAAACATTTTCTTAAGCCAATTCATTTCTTCTCTTAACAAAAACAAAACAAGTCCATTTTACATTTCTTGTACATTATTTCAATATGGTTGTAATAGATAATTAGGACTTTAATTTCTTGCAATTCCCATTTGTAAATTTGTATACCCCATCCCTCTAATGATTGTAATAGCGTAGAATATTTACTTTGCTTAATTTATCGCTTTCATATAATGCTAGTAAAGTAGGATTTGTATGGGAAGATAAAATCAACCAATAGATAACCCCTAATCAAAGATTAAACGCATGCAAATCAAACATAATATTCACACATGCACCCCTAGGGTTACTTCCACTTGTTTCCTAAAAATGGTCATGTTATACATGCGAGACGTCTTAGCAAAACAATCAAAATACAAGATCATAGTCCATCGATGACGCTACGAATATTGCCTTACAAATGATCTTAGTCCCTCAAGAGAAATGCTAAGATATCTCACAACATTACTATCATGACTATACGATGACCCGCGCCCGCCCATTTACATCCAAAGATAAGGCTTCTTCCAATCAATAGTAAGATAGCAATATCAAGGGAAGAGAGAAATGAACAAAAGACTTTTGATTAGGTAGAAATGCTCCTAGTTACTTGCTCACTTTCAAAACAAACATCCTTGCAAACACACACCAAACACTTTCAAAACATGAAATATTTTCAAAAGTCCAACACTTTGCATAAATTCTTATAAAGACAAGAATCATTACAAAGTTTGCCTAAACGAAGACGCTTTTCAAAAATACTTTCAAAAACCACCACAAAGCACACTTCCAAATAAAGCAAGTGGTCTAGCAAGCAACTAAGAGCCCATAGATAACTATGGATGAAAAGGGTGCTAATACCTTCCCTTTTCATAATCTACCCCCCGAATTCAAGAAAATAATCTCAAAGGTCTTTCCTGTTCTTTTCACCCTTTCCTTTATTTGGATAAAAGAAAAGTCGGTGGCAACTCTTGTTAATCGCAATAATTACATCCAACACAAAACATCCCAAGTCACTTCTCCCACCGTATTACAGACTTGAACTGTTATCTAGTCGGAATCCAGGCTTCAGTGACTTGAACTGTTATCTGGTCGTGTCCAGGCTTCAGTGATTTGAAGAAATTAAGTTGTTATCTGGTCGGATCCAGGCTTCAACTTGAATTTGAGATATATTGTTATTTGGTCGGGTCCAGCCTTCACAGTAACTCCAATTGTTATCTGGTCGAACTCCAGGCTTCACAATGACTTGAACTGTTATCTGGTCGGTTCCAGGCTTCAGTGACTTGAACTGTTATTTGGTCGAGTCCAGGCTTTAGTGACTTGAACTGTTATCTGGTCGGAATCTAGGCTTCAGTGACTTGAACTGTTATCTGGTCGTGTCTAGGCTTCAGTGATTTGAAGAAATTAAGTTGTTATCTGGTCGGATCTAGGCTTCAACTTGAATTTGAAATATACTATTATCTGGTCGAGTCCAGGCTTCACAGTGTTGTAGATTATACTGTCATCTGGTCGGGTCCAGGCTTCATAGTAATTAGCAGAGTAAATTGCTATCTGATCAGACTCCAGGCTTTGCAGTAATTTGATAGAGTAAACTGTTAATTGGTCGGATTCCAGGCTTCGCAGCAACTTATACTGTTATCTGGTCAGATTCCAGGCTTCATAGTGTCTTGAATTATAGATTGACTGTTATCGGGTCGGATTTCGGGCTTCAGCACTGATGTTAACTTTTATCTGGTCGAGTCCAGGATTTACAGTGTTGTAGAAATTTGACTATTATCCGGTCGAATTCTGGGCTTCAGCAATGATGTTAACTGCTATCTAGTCGGATCCAGGATTCACAGTGTTGTAAACTGCTATCTGGTCGGATTCCAGGCTTCACAGTAAATTGTATTTGATGTTATCTACTATCTGGTCGGATCCAGGATTCAGTGTTGTAAACTACTATCTGGTCGGATTCCAGGCTTCACAGTGAATTGTATTTGATGTTATCTGCTATCTGGTCGGGTCCAGGCTTCACAGTGATTGATGAGTTGTTACTTCAGATAATTTCCCTATCTTAATTCAGGAATTAATCTGGAACTTGTTGAAAATTTATGATGATATTTGTTTGTTGATCTTTCCTGAAAAGGTAAAGAATTAGTTGTATGCAATGTCATGATGCATGACACACATTGTGTAATGATGTTCTCAAAATAAATGAGATTGCGCTATATGTATTTTATATGCATATGCTATGACGTTTGTAAAATAATGTATGAATGCAATATATGAACTGATCAGTTGTTCTTTGTAGCGTCGTTGAATTGAGAGAAGATAAATCTCTAACTGCTGCTGAGAATGAAGAATGTGATTCTTCATTATTTGTTGAAGTTGAATTGCTAGGAGATATATTTCTGTGACTAGAGAAATAAACTCTACTAGAAAAAGAAAAATCCGTAAACTGCTTGGGGATTTTTATGAAACCTTTTACTTTTTTTAGTTTACCAAGTTCATGGGTAATGGGTTTTGATTAATTTAATATGTTATTAAGGTTTAATTCAACAATAAATATCTTTATATGGAATTTAAATATGAAATACTTGGAAATAAATGTATAAAAAGATTTTGTATGAAATTAAAAATTAAAAATTAAAGACATATAAAACCTTTAAACGTATATTCGTATATTTTCAATTCAAAAGCGCACACGTTAATATATTAAATATATGATCTATATAAAATTTATAATAATAATTATTTAAAATTAAAATATTATAAACAATTTTGATCTCTGTTTAATAAATTTTTAGATCTTCCTCTATATATTTCTTTTTTAGTATTATTTAGATATATATTTATTTTACTATTATTTCAAGCTTATTCCTAAAAAAAATATAGTTACAAATTGTTGTAATTATAAATTAATTACATGTAATATTTATTTTTTTATAATATTTTAAAAAATTTATAAATATATGTTGTATACTCCCTTCCCTCTAATCTCATTTATAAGAAAAAAATCACTTTTTAAATTCATTTATTTGATCTATATATTGTTCACATGCATTATTTATTCAATGTATTTAAAAAATAAATTTTTTCTTATCAATAAGACCGAAAATAATATATATATATATATATATATATATATATATATATATATATATATATATATATATATATATATATATATATATATATATATATATATATATATATATATATATATATATATATATCACTCTTAATACTTTTTCTTCAAATATAAAACTAAAATAAACAAACATATTTTTAAATTATTATTATAATTAAACATATAAAGTTTATTGTACATCAAAAGTGAATTTCATCTTAATTTTTTTTAAATAATACATAATAATTTGTATCTATAAACTTTATTTATTTGTGATATTCTTTTTTAAAATATATCTAATATGTTACTTATAAAATAAAGTATAATAAATTATATTAAAATAATAATTTATTAAACATTTTTTTATAATAAATTGTTAACATTTTCGACAGGTCGATACTACTTCATTTTTATAAGTATAGATAAATACTTAATTTATCACGATATTTATTTATCACGATATATATATATATCCTAATCATCGCTATACAATATTTATTTATTATTTATCACGATATTGTGTGATCAGTGCGAATGCACGGATAGATAAATACTTAATTATTTTATTTATTTTTTTAACTATATTATATATTTTCAACAGGTCTGAGACTATTTAATTTATATATTTTTATTTTGTTTAATATATTTCTTAACCTTCAATATATTATATTTATTTATAATTTTTATAACATATGGCGCGACTCATGCTACACGATAGATGACAATTTAATCATTTCATTTATTTTTACTACTAAAAATAAATCTCAATATTTATATATAATATTAATTATAATATTTTATTATTATTTATTGTAAGATAGAATACATCCCTATATTCTATTTATTCATGATTTTTTAACTATATTCGTGATAACGATAGAGTTCCTTTACTAGTAATTAAACAAATCGACAACGTTAATTTACCGAACATAAATTAATAGTAGAAAGGAAGAACATTAGCATAATAAAGTGAAAGAAAATAAGAACCACAATCTTCTTAAGACAAATACTAGCATATGACATCAAAATGGCTATGCTATACTTAAAAAGAAACTAGAGAGTATAAGACCAACATTGAATGCAGCTACACAATATTCCAATCTAGTTGAACTAGAAGACTTGTTGTCATGAAATTCTCCTGAACTTGGTGTTGGTGCAGGTGCCTCAGCCTCAAAAGGAGCTTCAAAGGAACTCATTGGAGTAGGAAAAAATGAGGAAATATCTGGAGTAGGTAAAACACCTGGAGAAGCTGAAACTGTTGGCTCAGTACTAGTAGTAGCAGTTGAATTCACAACATGTGAATTTTCAAGCAAGATAATTAACACAAAAGCCAAAGCAAGTGATTTTATGATAGTAGTAGTAGTAGTAGCCATGAATACGAAGAAGTATCTCTAAAACAGAAGGGTTTGAAATAGGAAAAAAGCATAGGAGTCTAGGGATAAGTGTGTGTTATATAAGTAGGGAAATAAATAATAGATGTAGTAACTATATGAGTGTGATTTTTGTGAAAGTTTATTTTTGGTATATCTTTTGTGATATCTTCACGGGATAAGCAAGAGATGTACTATATACATTCTTTCTCATTCATATTTATTAAATGTTTTTGTTTCTTTCTGTTGGTATGTCGGTAAGTTTACAAGAGATTCCATTTGGCTAAGGGAATTGTTTTGTTTGAAAAATCTATGTAAGTGCTGTAATATGTTATACGGATATATTTTTTCGAACTTCCAACAATGTGCTGAAAAATCATGTATTATAGTGTTTGTTTAATGAAGTGCTAGTAAAGGATTTACTCATTTGTATGTTTTAAAAGTTGAATTAAGTAAATAACTTTGTCTTAATGTTTTATGATCTAATAATAATGTTTAAAAAAAATGAGTAATTCTTTCAATTCAGTCATGATTGTATTTTATTATAGATAAAATAGAGGAAATAACAAAAGTTGATTTTAACATAATGAATCAAAGTTAGAATCATAGTTGAGAGAGATAGTCACGTTTACACGACTCGAATATGATTGCATCCAATAGAAAGAATCTATAAAAAGTTATATATTTAGATTGTTACCTATGCAAATATGAATATTTTGAATCTCACTAAATTATGAAAATATGAGAATGAGAAATATAATTATCAACTCATATCCTATATAGTACTCCATCTATAAATATAGTACTTCGTCTTTTCATGCATGTCACTTTAACACAAGACATATAATTAAATTAAAAATAAATTAAAAATAAGACAAAAATTTTATATCAGATAATATATGGGCTAAATATATGTTTATAAATTCAGTAACTCTCATCCTACAAATCAATTTTTTAGGGTTGAGTTAGGCTCAATCGCATCTCTTTACATAGTATTAAAGAGAATTTCTTTCTCTACTTCTATGTTTTTTCAGAGGCTCTTGGCGAAAAATCATAAATACTCCTAGACTTCGAATGTGCATATCCGAATGCACCGTATTTGTCAAGAATAGATGGGTTCGCATGTGCATATTCGAAGTCGTTTTATTTTGTCAAGAAAATGTGACTTCGCATGTGCATATTCGAATCAACCCCATAATTTAATACTTCGGATGTGCATATCCGAAGTCACTTAATTGTTTAACAAAACATTTTCACGCTTCAGAACTCATTTGTTCACCAATTCAAAACCACCCCCACATAATTTCTACTCAAACTTGGAATTTCTACTCATTTCTACTCAAAAACTCATTTCAACTCATTCCAACTCATCTATAAAGTTCCAGATTTGTGTAAATTTTCTTCGTTTTTATTTGATTCACTTTGCAATGCTATAATGGGTTATTAGGTTAGTTAGAATCAATTATATTGTGTAGGTTAATGTTAGAGTATTTAAATATTGGTGTTTGGGTGATAAAATGAGGTTTTTGGATGATTTAGGGTAAAAAGAAGCTCTTCGAAAATGGATGTTTGTGGGTGGTTTCGAATGTGCACATCTGAAACCCTTCTTGACCAGTTTCGGATGTGCACAAGTGAATTCTTGTCTGAATTGATTTTTTGTAAACCAACATATTAACAATTATCCATTTTGAGGAAAATGGCTGACAACCAGGACCCAAACAATCGATTGAGACAAGGCAGGCTAAGCCAGACTGCCTCTACTCGGTGTGAGAGAGCTGAGCAGAAGGTTAATATGCCTCGAGGACAGGGTCGGGTACGACAGGAGGAAGTTCCTGGAGGTTTCACTCCTGCACTGAGGAGTCGCTTGTCTCAGGCATTACCCTCTCGTGCACATGAGCAGATACCTGATGTGGAGGAGATACCTGAGCAGATTGAGGTACCCGAGTAGGTTGATATACCCGAGTCGGTTGAGGTACCCGAGCAGGAAAACTTCGGCTATTCAGGAGGGCCTTATGATGCCTCCCTCTTGATCTACTATAATGATCATGTCGCTCGGCATGTTTGGGATGTAGAGGTATATTTTTGATTGAACTTTTTCATTTTAAAGGTTTACTCACAAATATTATTTTTATGGTTATTATTTTTTTGTTACAGGAATAGTTGCCCATTAAGTCCATGAACCACTCGCGAAAAATCTTTGAATTATTTATACCTAGTGCGACTTGGTTCAATGAGGTCATTGTTGGATCCGGACTTGCCGGACTATGTGGTACTGGTTATGTTACTATAAGCCACGACATGCAGGGGGCATTGATCGAGAGATGGAACAAGGTGATGTTGTCTTTCCATTTTCCTATTGTGGAGATGACGATCACAATGATGTGGCTTGTTTTCTCCACCTACCTATCAGAGGGAGGTTACTTAACCATTCCAAGGTGCCACGAGTTAAGACAATTCAATGGATGGTCGAGTATCTGGGAGCTGGTCCATTTATGGCAGTTGAAGAGTGCAGAACAACTAATGAGTTGCATGCAAAATTCTTCACCTTGAGCTACTTATATGAAGATCACTTGGTTGCTACAAAAGAGGATGAGGGTGATGAGCTTTTTGTCAGTACCACCAAGATTGTGTTTTGCGGTGTTACTTCATGTTTTTGGTTGGCACGTCCCTCTTTGTGGACAAAAGTGCAACCTACGTGGATGTGACATACCTCCGGTATTTTATGGATTTGAGTACAATTCATGAGTGGAAGTACAGGGCCGCCATTTTGGTATACCTCTACCAGAAGTTGAATGAAGCTTCAAATTAGAGGATGAGGCATCTCACTGCTCTTGCACACTCTTCACGGTACCTTTCATTCCAAATATTATATTTAATTTGTTTTTTTTTTAATAATTTGTACTTACATATTCTCTGATTTATGTTTCAGAGTTGGATCATCTCTCACTTCCACCGCATTCATGGTTTCGATCCTGATCCGACTTATACTGACGACGTGTCGAAGGCTACAAAGTATGTCCTCGATAGAGGGAATCATAAAGTGTCTCCTTATCGGGTCTATTTTGATCGTACTAATCATGATGACATCAAATATATGTCATTTGAGGATCATGTGGATGTTGTATCCTTCGATACCATCTCATTATACTCTGGGTGACTAGCATGTGGGTCGAATATTATGGTCAGATATCTTCCAGAGCAGTGCATCTGGCAGTTTGATTTTATGCAGATGATACTGAGATCTCCTTTTCAGGCTGCTCCTAACACCATTGTCCACCGGAAACTCGATGATATCTTTCAGGATTTAGAGAATCATTTGATGCCACAGGAGTATCAGATGATGCCAGTATCCTAGAGTTGGCATTATGTAGAGGGATACGTGACATGGTTATTTAACATGACACACCCTATTATGACACCAGATGGTCCAAGACGTCCACCTAGGTCTGCTCATGAGGAGCTCTTGGTGAACTAGCATACCGAGGATGACCATGCCACTGATGTCTTATCAATTTGTCACCGGATACACATTCTTAGGCAGGAGACATTGGATTTTGGAATCATTGAGAGGGACGGACCTGGGGAGGTTGCCATCGTTGGGAGGATGGTTACAGAGGCATCCAGTACGGCATATATAGGAGGCAGAGGAGGTCACAGAGGGTTAGGATTAGGCATACGCAGTAGCAGTAGCCTATGTTATGTTTTGTTTTTTTATCGATGTAATATTTTGACATTGCACACTTTCTGAACAACTTATGTATTATATTATGTTTCTCTATTTCTGAACATCTAATCTAATTGTTATGTTCGTTTCATTTTTTTTCCAAATTGTATCATTTTATGTTTGCCCGTTTGTCTGTTTATTACATAGTGGTAATGATGATGTTTGTGTCAAAAATGACACAAACAGATAATGTTTTATATATACATCTCCGAAACATCAATTGACATATTCGTATGGGTGACTTCGGATGTGCATATTTGAAACATACTAAATGGTGTGTTCGGGTATGCACATCCGAAGGATACTTTTGGGCTTTCAGGGGTTTAACTTAACATAATCAGGTGGAGAAAGAAATTCTCGGTATCAAAAGCCTTGATTTAAGATATGGTGGGTCGTCTGCTATCAGGTTTCTGCTATCGGGTCACCCACCATTTATTTTCATGTTTTAGATGTCAAATCCTGAATGTGAGGGGGGTGTCTGTTGTTACGCCACCTACCTATAAACTGGTTTTGCAGGGTTGAGTTAGGTCCAACCACATCACTTTACAAAGTCTAAGATATCCCTTGTAAAATTGGAGGTAATTTAACCCTAATGATGTATGTTAATAAAATTTCATCATATAAAGTAAAAATTTAAAATCACATATTAATCCAAAACCTTAAGGTATTGGGTTTAAGTCTCCTCTCACTTATAAAGTTTCAATTTTTTTCTTTCCCGGTGTAAGAATCATTATTCACACTTAACATATCATCACCTTACTACTCAAAGATCAAATCATATATTTTTTATATAAATCATTATTCACACTTGCATTATAAAATCTTTGACACTTTTTAGTTTTGCATGAATCAAATTAGGATTCATGAGAAAATTCCCTCAGCTAATGTTGCTATAAACAAAATAAATGTTCCCAATACAGTCTGATTACAAAATAAATGTTCCCAGTACAGTCTTGGCATCTCATAAAGTTTATCAGATCAAATGTAACAATGATGGCTCAAATCTTTAGAATAAATATTCCTAATACAGTTGATTGTACCTGATCAGAATGGACCGTCACAGCTAGCTCGAGCAGAAGTTAAGAGTGAGGTGGGGGAGGGGTACCTGCAAGACACTCTGATGCCAAAGTAAGTTCCAAAATGAGTGAGCAAGTATGTGAGTAAGAAATATTCAATACTTGACCCTCTCGCAAGAGAGGTATTTATAGCCCCCAGCACTGGGCCAAAGTCTCCTCATTGGGCTGGTTAAGCAGGCCCAACATGGAGACTGTCAGGTCCT